CTATCACTGGCAGCGTTGTACTTCAGGACAGATCTTGAAACATTCTTTGTGACAATGAATGCCACACCATTCCTCTTCAACTTGTCATGCCCAGCACAGTAGATCACATGGTTGTCTGATTCACAATGGCCAAAACCAGTCCATTTCAGCTCAGTAATGCCTAGGATATTGATCTTTATACATTCCATTTCATTTTTGACAACTTCAAAATTCCTACATTCATACTTCGTACATTCCATGTTCCGATAATTAATGGCTGTTTGAAGCTGCTTGTTCTCATTTTGAGTCATCAGCAAATAGAGGTCCCGAAAGCTTTACTCCACCCATGTCATTACAGCCGGCTCCACTTTGAGGAGGCAGCTCTTTCCCAGTCGTATTTTGAGTGCCGTCTGACTGGAGGGGCTCATCCTCAGGCACTGTATCAGACAGTCTTCTGCTGCTACTCAGAAGGTTTTCAGTGGCCAGGTCCTTCTTCTTCGTCTCTGAGTCCAGAAGCCCCACTGAACCTGTCCACCCCGGGTGACCCTGCCGGCATTTGCAATCTGTTCGGTACAGCTTCCAACATCACAGCAATATACAGCCACCACAGCACAGCACACTGACAAACGGATGGCGACCCGTAAGGGTTAGTCTAGGAAACCCTATGCCGCGGTCGACTCTTTCACCTGGGGTCACTATGAGTCCAACAACAAGAGTAAGTCACAGTGCCACCGAGTCAGAGGCTCTGAAGTCCTTAATTCACCCGAACTTTCAACACATCAGTAATGAGTGTGCCACCTGCCTAACCAGGGAGCCACTTAAGCTGCGTTTGGAGAACTGCCCTCCCCTTCTCTTGGCCTCAGTTTCCTTTCTGCGTAGCCTGTCTCTTCAGCTCCAGGCTCCCAGCCTCCCAGTGCCAAAGTCCCAAAGCAGAATCCCATTGGGCCATGTCAGCCACGTGACTCTCCTGACTAGTTGATGCTCCCATTGACTTGCTTCAGCATGGGACCAGCTATAACTAAGAGGCTGCATCAACCCACAGGAACTCGAAACTCGGAGTGATTATTCTCACTCTTTTACCCCGATACTGTGGTTATTGGAAAGCGGGGTCCCTCATCAACCCTTCTCAGAGCCCCCCACATGCCACACGTCCTGATCTCCCGTCATCCTTTTCTCCAGGCCCCAAACAGGATGCTGAGGCAGCCAAGAGGTTCATCCTAGACATGTATACGGGCATGTACTCGGGCTGTGACGAGGATGCCAAGGGCAGCAAGAAGACCCCGCGCTCCCGCCGCCTCTTCAGCCACTACACGTGCGCCACGGACACGCAGAACATCAAAAAGGTCTTCAAGGACGTGCGGGACTCCGTGCTCGCCCGCTACCTGGACGAGATAAACCTGCTGTAACCCAGGACCCGTCCCTCCAGGGCTCAGACCCGCCCTATCGACAGGGGCGCAGGGCAGACCAAGCGGCGCATGCGCACAAGGCCACGTGCTACGTAGGCTCCCAAAGCCCCTTGTCGTTCTAGGCCCAGGTGGCAGGCAGGCCAGGCGCGAGCAAGTGGGAGGGGGTGGGCGACTGATGGGCACACCTCTCTGTTTCTCACCAGGACGGTTCACCCTTCCTTGACTCAGTTTCCCTGCTTGGAAAGGGAGTAAAACAGCCATTTGTGATGCCAGAGGGGAAAAAATGTTTAAAAAGCAGGGGCTGGAGTCTCTGAGTGGGTGTGACTCTCAGAGGAGGCCCAGTCCCGGGATGTCCCCTCCTGTGCAGGGGGTCTGGGGCCCCTGCAAGGGACGCACCTCCGGGAGCGGGGTGTGGGGGATGGGGTGGGCGCGGTCCTTTAGGCCCAGAGACGTGGGCTCTGGCGCCACCTCGTGGACAGTAGGCGGCAGCGCAGGGCCTTCACCTTCCCAGGGATCAGGAGACCGCCAGAAAGTGCTGTCCTTTTCCCAGACCACCTCCCTCCTTGTTTTACAGATGAGGAAAATGAAGGCCCACAGGCACTCCCTCCCTTCTAGGTCGGGGCAGGAACAGACTGAATCTCCCACCTTTCTGTATTTATTTCCTCACCTGCGGGGCCCCTTGAGGCATTAAAAAAAAAAAAAATGACACTCTGGAAAGCTGTGATTTCTTAGGAACTCGGTCGCCAGCATCCTATCTGTGTCTCTCGCGTTGCTTCTTCAGATCGTCTGCCCCGGGTCCAGAGGTTCTGGTGGTTGAGGGGGTAGGGATAGCAACATAGGGAAGGAGGGGAAGTTCTACTATCCAGCCACCTGTGCTGAGCCGCTCCCTTTGAGGCAGGAGGTGGAGGCTCAGCTCCTCTCTCTGGGTGAGGAGACGGTAGTTGCCACTTCCCCAAAAATTCCCGTAGCAGCCACTGCCCAGCTTGGACGAGGACGAGGACAACGAGGAGGGGTCCACTTTGTCCTAGACTCTGGATCATCCCTCCCACTACCCTCAGGGCTGCCCCTTGACCTACAAGCTGCATCACCCCCATTTTACAGACGAGGAAACTGAGGCACAGAGAGGGTGGATAATTTGACTGAAGTTACACACTTGGGTGTACAGAGCCAAGATTCCATTCATTCATCCAGCACATTTGGTGAAAATACACACTTTTTATGTTTACAAAAAAAATAGATGGTCAGAAAAATTAAGAAGATGGTACAAATACTTCCCACCGAGGCCACGGCCAGAGTCGCGTTAGTAACATCTCATACTCGTGTGGTCCTTTTGTTACCACTCAGAAACCAATATCGGTATATTATTACTAACCAAACACCATACTTTAGTTTCAACTATCCACACCCATGGAAGCCGCAGTCAAGAAATCAAACGACGTATTGCATTGGGCCAATCTGCTGCAAAAGTCCTTTTTAAAGTGTTCCAAAGCAAAGATGTCATTCTGAGGGTTGAGGTGCGCCTGGCCCAAGCCATGGTCTTTTCAATCGCCTCATGTGCATGTGAAAGCCGGACAGTAGAGAAAGGAAGACGGAAAGAACTGACATATTCGAACCGCGGTGTTGGTGAGGAATACGGAATATACCACGAACTGCCAGAGGAACGGACAAGCCTGTCCTGGAAGAAGTGCAGCCAGGGTGTTCTTCAGAAGCGAGGGTGGAGAAACTGCAGTTCACGTAGTTTGGATGGGTGTTTTGCTTTGTTTCATTTTCCTCCCCCATTGAAGACCCTGGTTCCTGATAATATCAATGTATCTGCTACTTTTCTCAAACCCATAATACATATGATAGTTTCGGGATTGCCACACCCAAACCACCCCCAGCGGCGAACTCACTAAACAACGTGCAGTTTTCTGTGCCATTCGTTTTCTCTTTTGGACTCAGCACTGTGTTTGACAGCACTGTGGGCTGGTTCTTTTTTTCTCCAGTGTGGTTATGCCGTTCATTTGAAATACTGTCTAGTTCATTTGTTTTCTAGCTGTATTTCATTCTGAAGTGTTTTTTTCTCCACCTTATCCATTTAATTTTATATTTTTTGACCTAGGAAACATTAACAAAGTCTTTTTTCCAGGAAAAACTGCTGCTGCTGTTGAGTCCATTCCAACTGATGGAGAGGCCACGTGCACAGAGTTCCATAGGCCTTTCAAGGTCGCAGTCTTCATGGAAGCAGGTCACCAGGCCTTTCTTCCATGGAGTCTCTGGGTGGGTTTGAACTGTCAGCCTTCTGGCAAGGAGTCGAACTCTGAACTGTTTGTGCTGTCCAGGGCCTCATTTTAAAACTTGTTGTTGTTGTTGTTGTTATGTGCCGTCGAGTCGGCCCCGACTCATAGCGACCCCTCCTTGGGTTTCCGAGGCAGTATCACTACGGAAGTAGGATTGCCCAACCTTCCTTCCGAGGAGTGGCTGGTGGGTTTGAACCGCCAGCCGTCTGGTTAGCAGGCAAGTGTCTTAGCCACTATGCTACCAGAGCTCCCTCATTTTAAAACTACACACACAAAAAAAAAAAACCAAAAAAAAAAAAACCTCACTGCCATCAAGTGGATTCCGACTCATAGCGACCCCCTCTGGGTTTCTGAGGCAGTAAATATTTACAGAAATAGATTGCCCCAGTCCTGTTTCCATGGAGTGGCTGGTGGGTTTGAACCACCAACCTTCTGGTTAGCAGTCAGATGCCTTAGGCCCTGTGCCACCAGCGCTCCAACACTACACAAAAACTCTATTATTCACTCAAAGTATTCCCTCCCATTTTCAATTTCAATCCTACTTACCAATTCATTAGTTCCTGATTTATCTTCGTTGTTTCTTTTGCAAAAATAAGTAGTTGTTGTTGTTGTTGTTTGCCGTATGTGTATATATTACTTCCCTTTCTTTATTATACAAACAGTAGCATATTACATATACTTTTGCACTTAAAACAAAAACAACCTAACCTAGGTCCTGGAAACGACTCCATTCTGTTGATAGGGCCATCCTCCTCCTCCTTTGTTACAGCTGCGTAGTACTGCCCTGTGCGCTCAGCCGAGTTCATTCAGCCACTTTCCTGGGTACAGCTGTCAAAATGGAGTGGAGGAGGCCTCTGACTCTTCTTAGTTCACAAGAGGGAAAGAAGGCCAAGGTCAAAAGGCCAGAGCCAATTCCTCTGAGATAGAGGTCAGACACACCTCCACCCTCAAACCTTTTTAGCAATTCTGACACCAGCCGTCCCTCCCACAGCACTGCCTACTTCTCTGCTGGGTGTGATAATTCATTGCAATGGCCACATGGAACTCACAGATGATACTCACGATGATGGGATTTATTATGGCAGTAACAGGCTACAATTCAGGTTCAGGAATGATTGGGATACAGTTCTTTGACCAGGACAGCCTCTTCCCAGCTGTGCCTACAGGTGCACCTCTTGCTGGCCCTCAGCCCATGGCCTCTTGGCCCCACAGCCTGCAGCCTCTGCCCTGCTTGGGCAAGTGTTACAAAGCTCTTTGTTGTTGTTGTGTCGTTACGTGCCGTCGAGTCGGACCCGACTCATAGCGACCCCTCCTCCTTGGGTTTCTAAGGCAGTATCACTTTGGAAGTAGATTGCCCCATCTTCCTTCTGAGGAGTGGCTGGTGGGTTTGAACTGCCAGCCTTCTGACAAAGTTCTTTAGCTCTGCAAAGTAGCATCCAGAAGCCCCCTCCACCACCAGCAAGCCTCAGCCCAGAGGCACTCAGCTTCCTCCCTCTGTGGCTGGGAAGCCCACTGTGTCATCTCGTCTGCCACGGTCCCCTGCCGGTGTCCTGGTTCTGCTACCACGGCTTCTCACCATCTCGCGCCATCTCCTGTGTTATGGCTTTCTGCCTCCCCGATCGAAGGGGCTCCCAGAGCAAGGACCCTGTGCCCACAGGAAGCACTCCACTTCTTCATCTTGGTGGTCGTCAGATCCCTTATTTCTGCCTCTGAGAGGGCCCATCTGAAGCCTAGCAGGATGGCAAAACCGACTAATCCCCACATTAAGGTTCCATTCACTTTATTTGCATGGTCCCACCCCCACAAGCATGCCATGTACCTTGTTTACGTCATTAGCAAGCTACCCTATTCCACTGGTGGGCCACAACCCCTCATATTTGCAGTCTTACCCAGTCATAGACAATGGCTAAAAGGGCCATACCAAGGAATTCACTGCACCGTAATATTCTTTGCCAACATCTTAATTCAAATGCATCAATTCTTCTTCAGTCTTCCTTATACCACATGTACATACACAGTCCACATCCTACAACCCAGCAACCTCACATGCTGGAGAATTTGTATCCAGGAGACAGGAGCATAAACATTTACTCCATTATAATTTTTGCAGAAGGAAAAAACACTATCCCCCAAATGCTCATCAACAGAAGAATTAATTTTTTTAAGTTATAGTACATTCCACATTCCTAATGTGGAATATTAGACAGCAGTGAAAAAGAATAAACTACAACTACTGTAGACATGTTCTGCAGAATCTCAAAAACATAATTTTGAGAGAAAGAAGATCTCTCACACACACAACACAGACAGCATGATTCCATTTCTGAAATGCATAAAAACAAGGGGACTGAGGGGACATTCTAGATGAGAATGATCTATACCTTGGCAGGAACTGGGGTGACAAGGATGCCAGCATTTGTCCACAGTCATAGAATAGTCCACTAACAACCTGTACATTTCACTATATGTAAATTGGACCTCCAAAAAGGAAACAGAAACAAATATTATACATCAAGGATTTCATTTTACTTGGAGCCACAATCAAGGCTCATGGAAGCAGCAGTCAAGAAACCAAATGGCCTATTGCACTGAGCATATCTGCTACAAAAGACCTCTTCAAAGTGTTGAACTCAGGTATAGCAAGGATCGTGAGACTGGCACAAGAGCGAGCAGTGCATTGTTCTGCTGTGCATAGGGTCACTATGAGTCGGAGACGGCTCCACGGCACCTAACAACAACAACAAAGTGCTGCAGAGCAAAGATGTCACTTTGAGGTAAGGTGTGCCTGCCCCAAGCCATGGTATTTTCAGTCACCTCATATGCATGTGAGAGCTGGACAATGTTTTTCATTCGATTCTTGAGGAATTAATGCATTCCAGTTATGGGGAGGGGAAGAATACTGAAGAGACCATGAATCAATCTGTCTTAGGAGAATGTAGCCAGAATGCTTCTGGCGACATGTATCCCTTTCATGGAACACCTGTGTCCCCATGAGACCCCTGTGCACCCCTAGGGATACCTGTGCTCCTCCATGGGACATAAATGCCCACCCTTCGGGGGGGTGCAGTTGGTCTGGCCAAGGGGGTTCTGTGGGGTGGGAGGAGAGGTCTGCGTCATAGTCACACTTACACTGCTGCTCCCTCTGTTCTATTTCCAGCCCCCAGACCCCAAAACCTGGCCCAGAAGAGCATACTGTTCCAGGCAGGCTTCTAGAAGCTGGGGTCCTGCAGGAGACCTGGAGGGCGTAGCTCAGGGTGGGTGGGGATGGGTGGGGACCGTTTCCCCCCTGCGTGACTCTGACAGTTACCCCTGCCCCTCGATGGCTTTCAAGGACCGGAAGTGGACAGCTGGACCAGGACTGGGTCTGCAGCAGGGGCTGGTCACAGCACCCTCCCTGGGCCCCGTTGAGCCGACCGTTGGGTTTCTCCTCCTAGTCCCTTGGCCTCACCACCACCCTGGGGGTACCTTGAGCAAAACAGGAAATTTCAAACAACAGGAAACAAGCCGGGCAAGGCGGCGGCCCCACCCTGCGGGGCCCAGCCGCCAGGGCCTCAGTCTGCCCCGGGGGCCGTTATGAACGTCACAGGGTCCCCGGCGGTGGCCCCTGAGTCTTGCCAGTGGCTGGCAGCCGAGGGGCACAGCCAGCTCATCGTGCTGCACTACAACCACTCGGGGCGCCTGGCGTGGCGCGGGGGGCCCGAGGCCAGTGGCCTGGGGGCCCTGCGGGCCCTCTTCGTGGCTGTGAGCTGCCTGGTGGTGCTGGAGAACCTGCTGGTGTTGGCAGCCATCGCCACCCGCATGAGATCCCGCCGCTGGGTGTTCTACTGCCTCGTCAACATCACGCTGAGCGACCTGCTCACAGGTGTGGCCTACCTGGCCAACGTCCTGCTCTCGGGGGCCCACACCTTCCACCTGGCGCCCACCGAGTGGTTCCTGAGGGAGGGCCTGCTCTTCATGGCCCTGGCGGCGTCCACCTTCAGCCTCCTGTTCACTGCCATCGAGCGCTTCGCCACCATGGTGCACCTGGTGGCCGAGAGCCGCGTCACCAAGACGGTGCGCGTCTACGGCTTCATGGGCCTGTGCTGGCTGCTGGCCGCGCTGCTAGGACTGCTGCCGCTGCTCGGCTGGAACTGCGTGTGCCACTTCGAGCGCTGCTCCAGCCTCCTGCCGCTCTACGCCAAGGAGTACATCCTGTTCTGCGTGGTCGTCTTCGCCGCCATCCTCGCCACCATCACGGTGCTTTATGGCGCCATCTTCAGGGTGGTGCGGCTCAGCCAGCGCCGGGCGCCGCGGTCGCACCGGCTGCTGCAGACGGTGCTCATGATCCTGGCGGCCTTCCTGGTGTGCTGGGGGCCGCTCTTCGGCCTGCTGCTCTCCGACGTCTTCGGCTCCAACGTGTGGGCCCAGGAGTACCTGCGGGGCATGGACTGGATCCTCACGCTGGCCGTGCTCAACTCCGCCATCAACCCGGTCATCTACTCGTTCCGCAGCCGCGAGGTGTGCCGGGCGGTGCTAAGCTTCCTGTGCTGCGGCTGTCTGCGGCTGGGCGTGCGCGGCCCCGGGGACTGCCTGGCCCGCGCCGCCGAGGCGCACTCCGGGGCCTCCACCACCGACAGCTCGCTGAGGCCCAGGGACAGCTTCCGGGGCTCCAGGTCGCTCAGCTTCCGCATGCGGGAGCCCCTGTCCAGCATCTCCAGCGTCAGGAGCGCCTGAGGCCAAGGTTGGGGTGACGGGACAGGTGCCAGGCGTGCGTCCAGCCGTGTCCTCCACTGGCCGGAGAGGGTGGCCGGGGGGGCCTGCGGGGTTCAGGAGGGGCGCGTGAGAGAAGGGTTCAGCTGAGGCTGTGGGGTCCTCCCCGAGGCCTCCTGTGATGCCAAGCAGGTTTCCAGAAGTTTCCAGACGTTTCCATGGAGAACGGGGAGACAGCCCAATTGGAGCAGAGAGAGGTCCAAGGGGGCAGTGAGTTTGCCTGCATGTGGACTCCTGTGTTACTCTGGGGAGTCCTGGGCCCAGGCTGCGAGGGCCAGGCTGTGGGTTTGATGCCCTGACAACAACGACATTCAGTGATGGTTTGACATGTCACTGCCTCCCTCTTGTTCATGTGTGCCGGCCAAGGGGCGGTGTGCGGGCTGGAGGGCCAAGTGCAAGTGGGTGCAGCTCCCGCCAGAGAGTGAGGGAGTGCTGTGTGCTTGGGGGTGTGGTTGTGAGGACAAGGGATGGGGTTGAGGGCGTGTGTGTCTGTGTGTGGATGGATCCCTGTGTGTGGGTGTGGGTGTGCGTGGTGGGGTGGGTGGGTGGGTGTGGGAAAGGGGGGAAACAGAAAGGGAGGGAGACAGCATCCCATGGCTATGTATGTGAGTGTGCCTGTGTGTGCGGTGTTTGTGACTGTGTATGTGTGAGAACTAGTATATCGTGGTGTGCTTGTGTGTGTGCCTTGAGTGCAACATAGATACCATATGATAGTCATATGCCTGTGTGTATGCAGACACCTCTGTGTGGGTCAGTTTTCTTGTCTGAGAGTGTGTGTGCACATGTGTGTGTATACAGTGTGCACTTTTGCATGCATTGTGTGCAGATGTGTATGTGCACATGTGTGCACTCTTGCACACACCCATATGCACATGCATGTGTGCACTCACGTGTGTATTGTGTGCATGTGTGCAGTGTGTGTGATTGAATGTGTGCATGTCTTTGTGTGTGTACATGTGTCTGTTCATGTACTGCATGTGTTCACCTGCATGTGCATGTGTGTGGTGTGAATGCTTGCACATGTGTACATGTGTGGCTATACGTGTACTGTGTGTACATGTTTGCATGTGTGTGCACACGTGTGCTGCCAAACACTCTCACCAGAAGTGTATAACCAACCAGTGTGTCTGGCTGTTGCGAGACTTCCCACGCCCGCCCCTTCTCGCTCACTTCCCCTTTCCCTGTCCCTGCCAGGATCCCAGTCTGGGCCCCCCCCACTCCTCCCCGACTCCCCAGGACCCTTACCTTGTCTGGCTGGTTTTTCATAAGCTAAACTGAACTGCCGCCACAGTCTCTGGCCTCTGTGTCTTTCGGGGACTTGGTCTGGGGACCGGCAGAGGGGCACTCGGTCCTCCTGGCCTGGGGGCATCCGCCCAGTCCTCTAGCTTTTGCTTTGGAACTAGTCACCTGGCCCTTCCCCATTATGGGCTCTGGCAGGACTCGCAGCCTGAGGTACACTCCCAGAGCCGATCGCCATGCAGGGCCTCCTGGGGGACATGTTGTCCGTCTGCTCTGTCCAGTATGGAGCCCTCAGTCTGGGAGGTGGCCTGTGCGACCCAGGAACTCTTACCTTGATTTAATGTTAATTAATTGACATTGTCATTCTTCCGTGCCCTTGAGAAGATTCTGACTCCTAGTGACCCCACGGGACAGAGTACTACCACCCACAGGATTTCCAAGGCTGTCGTCTTTATGGGAACAGACTGCCAGGTCCTTTCCCTGTGGGGCTGCTGGGTGGGTTTGAACCGCAAACCTATCAGTTGGCAGCTGAGTGCTTATCCCTTGTCCCACCATGGCTCCTTCAACACCCCCACAGGACTCCCATATTGGGCAGTGCAGGTGGCAGCCCTGAAAACACGGACAATTTTATTTCTTTGGTAGAAAGTTCTTTCTTTTCCTCCACCCAGGACTAAGCTAGTCCTTGAAAGTCCCCACCTCCCACCTGCCTCCTCTCTTTCTCCAGTTGCTAGAACTTTCTACAACCTTCCCCTCCCGAAAGCTCCCAAGACAGAGGCCGGTCCAGGCCCTGGCCCCGCCTGCAGCTGGTGGAGCTTCAAATAGAACTTAGGATCAGTCAGGCCTGAGCTCCCGCCCCATCTCCTTCCGTGGCCCAACGTCGCTGGGCCTGTTTTCCTATCTAAATGTGTGGAATACCTGGGTGATGCTTGATGACCTGCCGGAAGGTTGGCAGTTCAAACCCTCCCAGATGTCCCTCAGAAGACAGGCCTGGTGGTCTGCTTCCCAAAGGCATGGACACACGGGGTCACCTCAAGTCGGAACTGCTTGATGGCAACCACCTACAGCCACAAAATAGGGATAAGATAGCAGGGTTCCTCACACACTGTCCCATTTAAAGTGAGGAGCTATAAAAAGTATGTCATGTAGACCTTAAATATTTTATTTCATGTTTGATGGCCAACCTTTGAAGGAGCTCTGGTGGCCCAGTGGATAAGGCATTTGGCAGCTAATCAGAAGGTCAGAGGTTCAAACCCACCAGCTGCTCCACGGAAGAAAGACAAGGCAGTCTTCTTTAAGTCCATAAAGATTTACAGCCTTGGAAACTCAATGGGGTCCTTATGAGGTGGAATTGACTTGATGGCAGTGGGAAGTGTGGGAGGCCAGCCTTTGAGGTTGGGACTGTGTTGTCAAGTGGAGGGGGAGTGCTCAGGGCACAGGGGTGAGGATCCAGCTCTGTCTGCCCCTTGGGCACGTGTGGGCCGGTCTCTGAGCCTGAGCCTGTTTTTGCCTCTACAACACGGGAAGTATTGAGTCTTTACTGTGCTGTCCAGCATAGTGGCCGCTAGTCACATGGGAGGAGACTGTGTGGAGCACAGCTAAGTGCTTGGCTACTAGCCAAAGGCTGGCGGTTCAAACCCACCCAGGGGCACTTTGGAAGAAAGGCCTGGTGATCTGCTTCCGAAAGGTCCCAGCTGAAGACCCTGGGGCGCACAGTCCTCCTCTGACATGCGTGCCCTGAGTCGGGGCTGACTGGGCACAGCTGGGTTGGTTCCCTTTGCTGTGGTCGCCTGCAGCAATTTCCAGGAAAATAAAATGAAATGGAAACTTCAGTTGTTCAGCTGCACTGGCCGCCTTGCAAGGGCTCAGTAGCTGCCGTTTGGGCCCATGCAAGTCTAGAACATTCCCGTCGTGGCGGAGGGGTCTAGTGCACAGGGGAAGAGACTGCTCAGGCACTTACGTGAAGCACAGGACGGGCCAGGACGGTCCTTATGAGTTCGGGCTTCCCGCTCTGAATGTGTTGCTTGGGGACCACAGCAGGCAGGGTGGGGGTCTAGGTGGGATTTGGGATGAGGGGCATCTGGGCTACCCTGAGGCTCTCCGACTGTGTGAGCCGGCCCCATCCCCTCCTCTGCCCTGGGGGGCCTCCCACTCTCTGCTGGATCGACCTGAACTGTCTGCTGCTTCCTCCTGTCTCATAGCCTTTGCACATCCCTTTGTCAGCCCCACTAGGGTGGCATGCTCCAGGTCTCAGTTGAAGCATCACCTCCTCCAGGAAGCCTCCCCTGCTTTCCCCTTCCTAGGTCTCATCGGAGCTCCTGTGCCTTTGCACCCCCATCATGGCTCCGCCTCTGCTGGGCCTGCACCTTCTCTCATTCTTCACTTGACTGTTGCCTGCCCATCCTCCGGGTCTCAGCTGAAGCATCACCTCCTCCAGGAAGGTTTCACAGATTTCTCCTCCCTGGGCCTCCTCTGGGCTCCCCCAGCCACTTGGGTGCCCTCATTATGGTTCTGACCTCCCCCTGGTTGGGCATCCATCTCCTCCTCTGGACTCTGAGCTCTGGGAGGTGGAGACTGTGGCTTTGCTTGGCCATCTCTGTGTCCTTGGCACCCAGGCCAGCACACAGTAGGTGCCCAGCGACCAGAGCTCTGGGAGAACTGGCCCCAGCAGCATGCCCTTGGCCGAGCCTTGGAAACCTCTTTTCCCTCCTCCTCCTCCACCCATCCTCTTCCCTGTTGGTGGTGGTGGCAGTGGCAGGACTGTCCTCAAGGTTCCTGACCCTCACCAGTTGGATATCTAGGAGTTAACGACAGCCCCATGCTGGCGTCTGCAGCAGCTACTCACTGCTCCTTAGTTCCGCTGTGAACCATGGGTGTTCTGGTTCCCTGATGCCGCTCTGACAGGAATATACCACAAATGGGATGGCCATTCTTACAATTTGGAGGCCTTAAGTCCAAGTTCAAAGTGCCAGGCTCTAGGGGCTGGGTGAAAGCCCCCCAACCTTGGGGTCCAGCTCCACCTCCTATTCCCAGCCATTGGAGCTTGAGGCGTTTCTTCACTCAGACAGCTGCTGGCTGCTGAGGCTGACAAGCCCCAAGGTTGACAAGGAAAAAGGCACAGTCCCAATGTTACCAAACCACACGGCAGGCCATTAACTTAAGTCCATTGTAAGTTCCAAGGTCGGCAGAGCATAGCAGGCTGCTGAGCAATGACATGGCTACATGCAGGGTCCAAGTGTGCCATAGGCTAGAGACCATTCCCAAGGCTTCTCCTTATCTACAGGAAGCAGACCACATCCCAAAGGCAGCTACTCAGCTGCTTCCAGTAGATCCCACCATGGAGTTGATTGCCAGTCTCATCATGGGGAATACTACATCCAGATGCCCAGCCACTCAACCAGGCCCAGCCAAGTTGACACACAATATAACCACCACAATGGGCTCTTCTTTCTTTCTTCTTATTCTTCTTCATTTTTTAATTTTATTGTGCTTTGGGTGCAAATTTACAGAGCAAATTTGTTTTACATTCAACAGTTCCTGCACTTTTGATTTCACTGCCAATTACCGTCTATGACTGTAACACACTCCCCTCCCCTCTCCTCCCTGTGCCCTTCTTAACTATGCCCTCCTGTCTGTCCAGCTTACCCTCCATGTGATTGCTGCCCCGTGGGTGCCTCGTGGCTGATGGTTCTCAGGGGTGCATCTCCCTACAACCCTGAAGAGCAGGT